CGGAGGGCGCTGACGACGACGACGACGACGACGACGACGGCGACGAAGACGACGACGACGACGACGACGACGGCGGCGGCGGAAGCGGCGACGACGACGGCAACCCCGGGGGGAGCCACCTCCCGGAGACCCGGGGACGGTCAGGACCCGCCTCCCATTTTGGCTGGACCGGCCTACCCACGAAGGACGTCGAGGGGCGGAGACCCAACCGTCGATATTACCACACGCCCCACCCGGACGAGTCTGGCTTTGGGCCCCCCCTCCCTGGTGGGAGCGCCCGACCAAGTCCTGCTTGGCCGTGGCCCTCCTTGTGAGACCCCCTGGCAAGGGAGGGAGAGAGAGGAGGGAGGGGGAGGGGGAAGGGAAGAAAGGGGGAGAGCCCTACCCCGCCAACAAACCTCCAACACCGCCCCCACCACCCCCCCCCCTCCTCCTCCTCCTCCTCCGGGGCCCTGCCAAGACTTGCTTGGCAGTGGCACCCCCTTTTAGCACCCCACGCGCCGTGAGGCGCGCAGCAGCTCGTGGAAGGCCGCTGCTACGGCTGGCGAGGCCGCGTGGCGCCACTGCGCCCCAGGGATGCGGCCGCGGGCGGTGCAGCGTCCGCTGAGGTGTGCACCCAGCACGTTCACGCCTCGCCAAACCCACGCGGCGCCCTCCAGTGCCTGTCGGAGGCGCGTGGTGGAGAAGCGCTCGACGACTTGGTCGGTAACTCGCCTCTGGACTTCCGCCTGGACTATAGATAGGGGAGCTGCGCAGAACGCCTCCACCGCCGCGTGCCACTCCTCCGCCGTGCCATCGAAGCTGATGGTGGGCATGCCAGCCCCTTGAGGCATGGACGGGCATGCCCACGTGACGGGACTGTGGTCCAGATCTGCGGAGCCGAGGAAATCCTGTAGCTGTCCACAGAAAGGCTGCTTGCACCCTGCCTCGCGGCAGTGCGCGCCGTTGTGCACGCGAGTATCTGCTGGAATATGGATCCGCGTGGCCCGGGTCAGGACCACGTCGAGGCGGCGCCCTGCTCTGTGCGTTGGCACCTCTGGTGGCACCTCGTGGACAAGCCCCCTGGCAGCCATGAGATCTGCGAAGAGCGTGTCGATGTCGCTGGCGGGGTTCATGTCGCCGGCGAGGTGCACCATACAATCTGATAGTGGCGTCTGCCTACTAATAGCTGCCAGCACGCTGTCGTATTCCGCGAAAAGGTCGCGAACGAGCTTCCGCCGCTGGTCCTCGTTGACCCCCTTGTCGCGGGGAGGTATGCTGAACCCTCCCCACGCTGCCCCTGCGCCGATTCTGACCCATGCTGTGCCGATGCCTCCCGGGATCTCCGGCATATGGGTAATCGTGTCCTTGCACTCGTGCCTGACGAACAGTGCGACAGCTCCAAAGCTGGCAGTGCGCGGGCCCATCATTTCGTAGGGGAAGTGCGGTACCTCTTGCTGGATGCTGCTGTGCGGTGGGCATCGGCATGACACGCCGAAAAACCAATCGCATCCCAGCGCTGCCATTATTTCCCCAACATCCGTCCAACGCTGCACGAGCAGCCTCTGCCCGTCCATGGAGGTGCCGCCGCTGAGGCCGTAGTTCAGCATGCCGCCCCAGCTCACGCCCCCATGTCCTTTCTGCGACGGGCTTGCCAGTTGCTGCGGTTGGCCGGCTGCCTTTCCTTTCAGCTGGCGAGCCGCTGCCCGCAACAAAAGCCCAACCTCCCGACGGAGCGCGGCGGTCTGGGGCAGGAGCTGCCGGAGGGCGTCGGCCTGCAAGGGGAAATGCTTCGCGGTCTCCTCCCGCGCCAGCGCCACGAGAAGATCACGCGTGACGATTGCCCTCCACTTCTCCCTTGCGGTGTCGCCCGGCGTCGGCTGGACTGATTCCAGGGTCGCGCGCATGGCACTTAAGGATGGTGCCACTGTTGCTCTTTCCGCCTTCTCCATTGCCGCATCGGTCCGGCACAGCATTGCCGGTGTAGCTCCCGGGGGACACATGGAATTCAGTGCGACGCTGAACTCCCCCCCGAATGAAAACCCAAGTGGCGAATGCGGCCAAGTGCCTGGGGCGACTGCGTGCCCCCGCGGATGCGGATGGCCTGCGAGGAGCCGCACCCCAAGAACTCGGAGTCTGCCGACTGGGAGGCGCCGAACTGGTCCTGCAGGTACTGCTCGACGGCGTCTGCGTCCGCCGTGCTGCCCAAACCGAGTGCCACCTTGGTCATGCCCGTGGGGTTGAAGGTGAGGATGCTGCCGGACTGGAGGATGAGCGTCCATGGTGTGTGGGACGTCTTTGGGATGTTCTTCACACCGAATGTCTTGTCGAGGCAATCCCAAAGCCCTGTGCGGCCACTGCCGTCGTAGATTTCGGCAGCAGGGATGTACAGGCATTTATCCTTGCGCGCGAGCTCCCATGCTGCGCGCGCCGTGATCTCCATGCGCGCTTTGCCCTGCTGCACCCTGCTCGTTGAGACCTGTTTCCCTGTGCCACGCCCGTGCTGCGTCGAGCCGGGTGTGTACTGAGGGTGCGTGCGTCGCAGCATGTTCACGAGAATGGGCTTGTTGCTCCACGAACCGTCTAAACGGATACGTCCGTCATGTGAGAGGTACCAGTTTGCAGTTAATGACAAGTTTGGGACCCGGATCGCTGGTGTCTGCTGCCCTGAGGTGGTCTTGAGGTACGCATTGACATGTGAGTCCTCCCACGGCGTGTGTTTATACAACAGGTCCACATATATACCACAGTACGCAAGGGAGTGGAACCATTCCCACATCTGGTCTTCCCATGTGCCGTCGAGCCTGGTGCTGGTGAAGCAGACCTCACTGGCTTCGGGACCGCACGCATCCCTCCACCCCGGCGCCATAGTTTGCTGTAAGATGCTACGCGGGTCTGGAGCGGGCTCGCTCTGTCGCAGCCGCACCCACCGCTGCTCCAGCATGACATTCGCGGGGACGGTGCTCGCCCTGCCCATGCCCTCCGGGGGGCTTGGCATGCTGGCCCCGCTGGGCGCTCCTGGCGGTAGGGCTTCTGAGGCTGGCAGTGCCGATGCCGTACGCGTGGACTGAGGCTGGGCAGCACTGCCGTCGGATGCGTCCTCATCGTCGTCCGTGTCGTCCTCCTCGTCCTCATCCTCCTGCTGTGCTGCTTCGCCTGCCTTGCGGCTCTCTGCTCCGTCGCCCGATCCTCCAGTAAGAGCTGCAGCTGGGCCTTCCTGGCTGGCGGCCAAGGCTGCTATCGCCGCCCTCATGTCTCCCTGGGGCAGGGCTGCGATCGCACGGAGCACGTCGGCGAGCTGGCCTGGCTGCTGGGGCGCGGGGGTGCTCTCCGGCGCCTCGGCGCGTGAGGGGCCTGGCCCTGCGGGCCCAGAGGAGGGTGCTCCCGGGGTCACGGCTGTTGCAGCTGCGGCGCTGGCGGCAGGGCAGGGCCCTGCTGCGGCTGGGCTGCTGGCCCGCTGCTTCTGGGGCGGGGGGGCTGCTGAGGGGGCCAGCTGGCCCGGCTGCTGCTGTGGCGGCACTGGCCCGAGTTTGGTGTAGCCCTCCAGCACCTGGATCTTGGCCGGGTCAAGGATAATGGTGCCTGGGCGCCTGTCCGAGGCGCCTGCTGCGGCTGCGCTGCTGGCTCGCTGCTGCTGGGGCAGGGGGTCTGCTGAGGGGGCTTGCGCCTGCGCGGACGACTGCTGCCGCCGCCGCTTCGGCGCCTTTGGCTGCGTCTCCGCGGCCGTCTCCTTGGAGCCCCCCCGCTTGCGATCCTGCCGTGCCTGCGACTGTTTCGGGGCTGACGGATGGGGTTGGGATGCCGCCGCTGTCAGGGGCGGGGGCAGGCCCTCGTCTGCGTCCTCCGTTGTCGTCACCTCGTTTGGTCCTCTCTCTTTCTTCTTATCCTTCTTCCTCTGCTTCTTTTCATCATTCCTCTCCTTTTTCTTCTCTTTTTTCTCTTTGCGTTGCTCTTTCTTCTCCTCCAGGTAGCTGTGGTACGTGTTCAGGATGCTCTTGCCCAGCTGCGTGTAGTTGACGTCGGGGGTGCGTTCCCGGGGGAACTGGGCCGTCACGATGGCCCCCATGATTTTGCCAATGCAGTTCTTGTCCTGGGTCCTAATGGCCCCTTCCCTCATCAGCTGCACCCCCGTATGTTCTAACTTCTTTCGCCAATCTTGGCCTCCGGGGCCTGGGCGGCCAAGGGCTTCCCGATGTCGACGCTCACGTTTTTCTACGATGGGGATCGCGATGTCTGCCTGAACGCCCATGGCGGTGAGGCTGCTCGCCAGGGCTGCCATGGCAGCGAGGGGTGGGGGAGCCCCCCGGGCACTTGACCCGCGGAGGCGCCCTCGCACACACTCACTCCCGTGGGTCGGGCTGGCCACCCGGCGTTGATGACGCCCGGCAGGGCGCAGAGGGGCGCCCGGCGCGATGGGGCGCCCGGCGCGGAGGGGGGTGCCCGGCGCGATGGAGCGCCCGGCGCGGAGGGGGGCGCCCGCCGCAGAGGGGACCCCTTGGCTCCTCCTCCTTGTCCACCTCTTCCTCTTCCTCCTCCTCCTCCTACTCCTCCTCCTTCCTCCTTCTCCTCCTCCTCCTCCCTTCTCCTCCTTCCCCCCCCCTCCTCAGTCCTTTCCTTCCTCCCTCCTTTCTCCTGGAGGAAGAGCAGGAAGAGGAGGAGGAGGAGGCGGAGGAGGAGGGAGGAGACGCCCCCGCCGAGGGCTCCCCGACCCCCGCCGACTTCCAGGCCCTGCACAGCGCAGGGGTGAGACGCGCGGCGCGCCGCCGCGGCGCAGGGCAGCGGGGCCGCGGCATGCAGCCGTCGCAGAGAGAGAGAGAGAGAGAGAAAGAAAGAAAGAGAGGGGAGGGGACGGGAGGAGAGGGAGGCAGGGAGGGAGGGAGAGGAGGGGGAGGCGGAGGACGGGGAGGACGGGGAGGAGTAGGAGGAGGAGGAGAAGGAGGAGGAGGAGGAGGGGGAGGAGGAGGAGGAGCGAGGAGGAGGAGGAAGACGATGAGGAGGAGGAAGAGGAGGAAGAGGAGGAAGAGGAGGAGGAGCGAGGAGCGAGGAGCGAGGAGGAGGACGAGAAAGGAGGGCCCCGGCTCAGTGGGCGGCCAGCGGCAGAGTCACGGCCTCGGCGCAATCCGTCCCGATCGTCGTCGTGGTCGTAGTCGTGATCGTGGTCGTGGTCGTGGACGTCGTCGTCATCGTCGTCGTCACCGTCACCAGCATCATCATCATCATTATCATCATAATCATCATCATCATCATCAGCAGCAGCAGCATCAGCATCATCATCAGCACCATCATCATCATAATCAGCATCAGCATCATCATCATCATCCTCATCATCATCACCATCATCACCATCATCACCATCACCAACATCAACATCATCACCATCACCATCACCATCACCATCACCATCACCATCACCATGACCATCACCATCACCTCACCCTCATCAGCATCATCCTCATCCTCATCCTCATCATCAGCATCAGCATCAGCATCAGCATCAGCATCACCATCCTCCTCATCCTCCTCATCCTCATCCTCCTCCTCAGCATCATACTCATCATCAGCAGCATCAGCATAACCATCATAATCATCATAATAATGATAATAATATTACTAACAATAATAATAAGGATAATGTTGATATTAAGAATAATGATAATACGAAAAATGATAATAATGATAACAATAACAAGACTGCTCATGGTACTACTACTACTACTACTACTACTACTACTACTACTACTACTACTACTACTACTACTTCAACTACTACTACTACTACTACTACTACTACTACTACTACTACTGGAAATAAGGACACGACTAATAATAGTAACGATACTACTACTACTACTACTACTACTACTACTACTACTACTACTACTACTACTACTACTACTACTACTACGACTACTACTACTACTACCACTACTACCACTACTACCACCACCACCACCACCACCACCACTACTACTACTACTACTACTACTACTACTACTACTACTACTACTACTACTACTACTACTACTACTACTACTACTACTACTACTACTACTACTACTACTACTACTACTAACATCCGCCGCTCTGCGGTTGATCGGGAGTTTCTGTATATATAGAAGAAGGGGCGCGCGCTTCTGGGCGAGAGGGAAACGACCGAGAGAAGAAGGGGCGGCCGCCCCACAGGACCTCTCCATGGTGCCGGAAGCCCATCAGGGCTCCCTCAGGGCCCCTCCCCCAGGGCCGGGGCTCCCTCGCCTGCCCCCTCCCCCTCCTCCTCCTCCTCCTCCTCCTCCTCCTCCTCCTCCTCCTCCTCCTCCTTCGCCCCCGTCGGCATATCCAGGCGTGTTATGCAGTCAGGTCGTCCGTCCGGAAACGGTGCCGGAGGCCGCTCTGGGCTCCTCTGGGCATCCCCCCCGGGGCCCGTTTTGTGAGGATGTCTCAGGCGAGGGCGCCGGTTTGGGATTCGTCACCGGATCCAGCGGATCCAGCGGATCCGTCCGGAAACGGTGCCGGAGGCCGCTCTGGGCTCCTCTGGGCATCCCCCCCGGGGCCCGTTTTGTGAGGATGTCTCAGGCGAGGGCGCCGGTTTGGGATTCGTCACCGGATCCAGCGGATCCAGCGGATCCGTCCGGAAACGGTGCCGGAGGCCGCTCTGGGCTCCTCTGGGCATCCCCCCCGGGGCCCGTTTTGTGAGGATGTCTCAGGCGAGGGCGCCGGTTTGGGATTCGTCACCGGATCCAGCGGATCCAGCGGATCCGTCCGGAAACGGTGCCGGAGGCCGCTCTGGGCTCCTCTGGGCATCCCCCCCGGGGCCCGTTTTGTGAGGATGTCTCAGGCGAGGGCGCCGGTTTGGGATTCGTCACCGGATCCAGCGGATCCAGCGGATCCAGCGGATCCGTCCGAAACGGTGCCGGAGGCCGCTCTGGGCTCCTCTGGGCATCCCCCCCGGGGCCCGTTTTGTGAGGATGTCTCAGGCGAGGGCGCCGGTTTGGGATTCGTCACCGGATCCAGCGGATCCAGCGGATCCAGCGGATCCGTCCGGAAACGGTGCCGGAGGCCGCTCTGGGCTCCTCTGGGCATCCCCCCCGGGGCCCGTTTTGTGAGGATGTCTCAGGCGAGGGCGCCGGTTTGGGATTCGTCACCGGATCCAGCGGATCCAGCGGATCCGTCCGGAAACGGTGCCGGAGGCCGCTCTGGGCTCCTCTGGGCATCCCCCCCGGGGCCCGTTTTGTGAGGATGTCTCAGGCGAGGGCGCCGGTTTGGGATTCGTCACCGGATCCAGCGGATCCAGCGGATCCGTCCGGAAACGGTGCCGGAGGCCGCTCTGGGCTCCTCTGGGCATCCCCCCCGGGGCCCGTTTTGCGAGGATGTCTTAGGCGAGGGCGCCGGTTTGGGATTCGTCACCGGATCCAGCGGATCCAGCGGATCCAGCGGATCCGTCCGGAAACGGTGCCGGAGGCCGCTCTGGGCTCCTCTGGGCATCCCCCCCGGGGCCCGTTTTGTGAGGATGTCTCAGGCGAGGGCGCCGGTTTGGGATTCGTCACCGGATCCAGCGGATCCAGCGGATCCATCCGTCCGGAAACGGTGCCGGAGGCCGCTCTGGGCTCCTCTGGGCATCCCCCCCGGGGCCCGTTTTGTGAGGATGTCTCAGGCGAGGGCGCCGGTTTGGGATTCGTCACCGGATCCAGCGGATCCAGCGGATCCGTCCGGAAACGGTGCCGGAGGCCGCTCTGGGCTCCTCTGGGCATCCCCCCCGGGGCCCGTTTTGTGAGGATGTCTCAGGCGAGGGCGCCGGTTTGGGATTCGTCACCGGATCCAGCGGATCCAGCGGATCCAGCGGATCCGTCCGGAAACGGTGCCGGAGGCCGCTCTGGGCTCCTCTGGGCATCCCCCCCGGGGCCCGTTTTGTGAGGATGTCTCAGGCGAGGGCGCCGGTTTGGGATTCGTCACCGGATCCAGCGGATCCAGCGGATCCAGCGGATCCGTCCGGAAACGGTGCCGGAGGCCGCTCTGGGCTCCTCTGGGCATCCCCCCCGGGGCCCGTTTTGTGAGGATGTCTCAGGCGAGGGCGCCGGTTTGGGATTCGTCACCGGATCCAGCGGATCCAGCGGATCCGTCCGGAAACGGTGCCGGAGGCCGCTCTGGGCTCCTCTGGGCATCCCCCCCGGGGCCCGTTTTGTGAGGATGTCTCAGGCGAGGGCGCCGGTTTGGGATTCGTCACCGGATCCAGCGGATCCAGCGGATCCGTCCGGAAACGGTGCCGGAGGCCGCTCTGGGCTCCTCTGGGCATCCCCCCCGGGGCCCGTTTTGTGAGGATGTCTCAGGCGAGGGCGCCGGTTTGGGATTCGTCACCGGATCCAGCGGATCCAGCGGATCCGTCCGGAAACGGTGCCGGAGGCCGCTCTGGGCTCCTCTGGGCATCCCCCCCGGGGCCCGTTTTGTGAGGATGTCTCAGGCGAGGGCGCCGGTTTGGGATTCGTCACCGGATCCAGCGGATCCAGCGGATCCGTCCGGAAACGGTGCCGGAGGCCGCTCTGGGCTCCTCTGGGCATCCCCCCCGGGGCCCGTTTTGTGAGGATGTCTCAGGCGAGGGCGCCGGTTTGGGATTCGTCACCGGATCCAGCGGATCCAGCGGATCCAGCGGATCCGTCCGGAAACGGTGCCGGAGGCCGCTCTGGGCTCGTGCTCTTCGCGCCGGGGGTGAGGATGACGTGAGTTCCACAGAAACTCCCTCAAACTACTCATGATCATACTAGTAATACTACTAATAATAAGCATCATCAGCAGCAGCAGCATCATCATCATCATCATCATCATCATCATCATCATCAGCATCATCATCATCAGCATCATCATCATCATCATTATCATCCCCATCGCCACCGTCATCACCATCACCATCCTCATCATCCTCATCATCCTCCTCCTCCTCACCAGCATCATCATCATCAGCATCAGCATCAGCATCATCAACATCAGCATCAGCATCAGCATCAGCATCATCATCATCATCAGCATCATCATCATCATCATCATCACCAGCATCATCATCATCATCATCATCATCATCATCATCATCATCATCAGCATCACCATCACCATCACCATCATCATCATCATCATCATCATCATCATCATCATCATCATCATCATCATCATCATCATCATCATCATCATCATCGTCGTCGTCGTCATCGTCATCGTCATCGTCATCGTCATCATCAGCAGCATCAGCATCATCACCCGTAGCCATTTTGGCTCGAACTGATTCTCCATAACTTCTCGCAGGCGCCCCCACACTGCGGCTGCGGCGCGCGGTCGGGAAATGCTGGCGACGGGGGGCCGCCCGTAGGCGCACGGGCGGGGCGGCCTAGCACGCGCAGCACGCAGCCTGAATGAGGCGGCCGAGATGGGGGCGTCCGCGGCTCGCCGAGCTGCGCGGGCGCGGCGCCACCTTGCGGCAGAGGGCGCACGCGAGGGCCCGCGGAGGCCCGGGCTCCTGGCAGGACCGAGAAGCGGCGGCTCGGCCAGCCCTCCGCAGGGCCGCCGCTGGACAACGGGTTCCTGGGGACCCTCGGAGGCGGCGCAACGCCGCCTGGCACGCCGCGCGAACCCCCCAGGGCGGTTTCTCTGGCGCCTCGAGAGCAGGCCTCGCTTGGGCCGCGGCGGGGCCCCGCCTGGGGCTGGGAGGCGCCATGGCCTCAAGCGCTAGGCGCTGCGCGGCGGCCTCGAGGCCCCTTACCGTGAGCTTCAAGGACTTCGTCGTCACTATCGCGGAGGACGGCAGCGAGCAGCTGGAGCCTCTGGATGGCAAGCCGCGAGCGTGGTTGTGTAGGGAGCTTAGGCATCTGCGGACACTGGGGCCAGCAGCGGTCATTGGGGAACCCAGACAGGGGCAGACCCTAAAGGAGGGCAACGGACCTTGGCGCGAGGCCGCAGACATACGGATGCCCGAAGCCCTCGACCAGGTCCAGCCTCCACCCTGGGCCGCGGATGCGCGGGTGGCCGAAGCCCAAGGGGAGAGAGGCCTTTCATCGACGTCGGGGCGCTGGGACGTCCTTGGGGAGCCCGCTGCTGGGCAGACCCAGAAGGGGGGGAGGCGAGCTCTG